AATGTGATTAAGGCCAATTGAGTGGAATAAAAGGCAGAGGTGGCGGAGGAAGGAGAGCCGAGCCTCCTGGGGGAATCGAGGAGGAGCCGAGGAGAAAAAGGAAAACCACCTCCATGGTTTTAACTGTCAGCAATTATTTGGCAGGCCTCTAATTCTCTCTGCTTTAAAGTCCCAGTGAAGGGATTGCGAGAGAGAAGGTGGAGGTGCTGGTGGGGGGGAGCTCCCTCCGAGATTTGAGGGAATTCTCCTTTGCAGAATTCTTTTCTTTGGGAAATGGGGCTGTCTTGGAGGAGTGAAATCCGCCCTTTTAAAAAAAGGATGAATTTTGACAAGCAGGTATCTTCAGATATTTCCATTTCCCCCCATGGTCTTTCATTTTAGCAGGCAGGGATTTTCTAAAATAGCCACAGCAGTGAGCCAGGGGCCCGCAGGCAGTGGCCCCTGGCATTTGGCACTGGATTGTTATACATGGGCAATCTCGGAGGGAGGTGGTGCTTCCTCCCAACAGGGGTTCATTATCATGGTTACAGCGGACACCAGCCTCTTGGGTGGAGCAGCTCCTCCAGGGCAGCGGAAGGCCAGGGAGAGGGGCTGGGTGGGTGAGGGGGCCCGGAAAGGGACCACAGTTGCCCCTTCCTTCCACCCGAGGGCCAAGTCCTGCCCTGCTGAATGCCGGTTGCCGAGATCCATTTATCTGAAATGGTGTAGGGTTTCCTGCCTGAGAGGGGGTTGGACTAGAAGGCCTCTGAGGTCCCTTCCAACTCTTCTTATTCTACATTCTATCCCCAAGGCCTTTGCCTGGAAGGTGGCTGCCCCCTCAGCTGAAGGGAGGCCCACACCACTTCCGGACCCAGAATGCTTTCCCGGGGCATTTCGCAGGGCACAGGGGTGCAGTCAAGACTGGCAAGGCAGGGATTGGGGAGGGGGGCGGGCGGGAAAGGGGGCTGCCAAAGAGGGGGAGAGAGAAAGCCTCTCCTAAGGAAGGGGCAGTGGGGCAGGAGAGGTGGGGCAGGATCACAATTTGGGAGGGAAAGCCCAGGTTGTGATTCATAGAAAACCAGATTTAGAAGGGGCGGTGATTCTCTCTCACACACACACACACCCCTCTTTGCAAGGCAGTTTTGAACTCCAGCCATTTCAACCCTGTTTTCTTTGGATTGCAGTCAAGAAAAGGGCCAGCAAACAGCAGCTGACAATGCCAGACAGGGGCTTCTTCTTGGAATCCTCCTCGTGGGCAGTTTTAGCCTTCCGACCTGCCAGTTTTAATTTGCTCACTGCTAAAAGGGGTTGCTGAGTTTTTCTTGTTACTGAAAGGATTTGCTTTGCTGGTTTCTTGCCCATGAACCTCTCTCAGAGGTTAGAGGATTTTGTTAATCATAAAGAAAAACAGAAAGCAACAAATGCACTTTGCAAAGTGTAAACGGTGAGATTTCCCTGAAATCAAAGCCTGGGCAGTTTCAGGAAGGAGCCTTTTCCAGCTCTTTGTCAAGGACTGTCGTAATAAGTGGAATTGCCCTATTCAGTGGGAGTCTCCCTGGGCATCTTAGCAGCTGAGTAAAAATGATTCATACCCAACAAAATAAATTTAAAAAGAGGAAAGAGGAGGGGAAAAGCCAAATTGACAAGTGCTGACAAAAAGGGAAAAAGCAACTTCCAACTTTCCTCCGTACAGATAAATACCTGAAATCCAACAAACCGGACTAAACCACAACCAAGAGCACTTCTACCGTCCTAAACAAGTCTAATCATCCAAAGCCAAGTTAGCATTTCATTTCTTTCCCAGCAGAAAAGAAGCTGGACCGAGTCTTCTCTTTAACCAAAGCAGTCAGCCAACAAAGCTTCAGCTTGGCTGAGCTGAATTAGAATCCGGGTCTTCTGACTCCGTCCCCCGAGCTGGCACTTCCCCTCCCCCCTCCCTTCCCCTCTTGATAAAGAGCATTTCGAACAAGTCACATCTCCAGCCCTTTAAAAACTCCCTTCTTTCCTGCAAAATGACAGGATTTGGTGGCCGGGATTTGAATTGACCAAGGCAAGAAAGGATGCGAGAGGCTTTCGTGTTTGTTTCCTAGTTTTGCAGGGAGGGCGGTGGAAGGAGCTGCTGAGAGTCCCTTGAAGTCTGAGTCACTGGCAGGTTTTGCTCATCAAGAAGGATGTGGGGCGATTCTTTGCGTCCCCTTCATTGCTGTTGCCATTATCCAGTTAATTAATCTGTCCAGGAGAGCCGAGATGGGAAGGTTCCTGCACGAGGCAACTGGGATGGCTGACCTAGAAAAATCTCTGGCAGAAGGTGCCCCGAAGCCCCTCTCAGCGCAAGGAAGGGAGGCAGGGCGGATCAGTCGGGGTCTCTGAGTCTTTCCGTTTCCAAACTGCCATCATATTTCATTCTCTTTTGGGGGAAATGCCCAGAAGGACGGTGTAACAGCCACCTACTTTCAAAGTGCAGCAGCCTGTGGGGTGAAAGGAACCCGGAAGAGGCACGCTCTTGGGAGCCCCCCCCCCCCACAATTTCAGGGCAAGGAAGCAGCTCTTTGAAATCGGCCCTTCTGCGGGGGGGGGGGGGTGCAGGGTGGCCCCCTGGGGCTTGGCCAATGGCTCAGAGGAGAGACAAATTCCAATGGTTCGGCTACACTTCAGTAGCGTCCAGTTCTATAAAGATGCAGGAGACGTCATTAAGAAGATGGCAAGAGAGCTTATTTTAAAAGCAAGAAAAACCCACACATGTTAAGCTAGCAAGTGTACGACGAGGATGCACTCAAACCTGAGAGCAAAATCCTCATATGGGGGAGTCAGTTACAAATCTTGTCATTTCCTAGCCTGATTTCCCCCCCACCCCCAGGAACGGTCAAATGCAGGCAAGCAGGATGCGAAGGGGGGGGGGCACCTGTGCTCCTGGTTGCGCCTGGCCAGGCTCCATTCAGCCCTCCCTGCAGCCGGTGGAGGGTCGGGCCACGAGCAAGCAAGTTCTGGTCCCGAACTCTGTTCCAGCCATTGTCCTAAGCTGGACCAAAGGGCGGATTCAGTGGAAGCATTGCTTCTCGTCTCTTCTCTTCCTCCTTCTCCCCCTGACGGCCTTCTGGGCGGGCTGCTCTGCCCGAAGTGCTGGAAGGTTCTTAGGAAGTCAGATTGTGAGCCACCCGCATAGCAACCCCAGAGACCGAAACCGGCCCTGGCCCCCACTGGGTTTCCAGCTCCCTCCAAAGGGGACAGGGGTAATCTATGGCCTTGTTTCCCAGAGATAAGCAGGAACCGAAGATCTATTAGTGGCTGGAAGGCAGAGCCAAGATTAGACTCTGCAAGGCTGGCTTAATTATCCCTGGCAAGAGAAACACGCAGCATTTCATCGGTGAAGCCGGGGAAGAAAAGGCGAGGGAGGGGGAAGGGCAAGTGGGGGGAGGGGTTCCAGTTGCCCCCTTGGCTTGCCTGGGGGACTGGCACGTCCCTTGTCGGCTGGCCGACCTTTGCCTTCACCTTGTCTGCCTTGCTTTGTCACTTGGCCGGGCTTCCCAACTATTTTGTGCACGCTTGCATATCCAGGCAGGTCAAGTCAGCCCTTGATCGATTCCTGGAGGATGAGCCATCAACAGCTATTAGCTGGGGGGGGAGGGGAGGGGAGACGGAGCCTCTGTGGTTGAGGGCATCTTGCCCGGGAGAGCCAGAGGAAAAGGGCCGCTGGGGGGGGGGTGTTCCTGGGATGGGACTCAGAGGCTGGCTTGGAATTGGGGTGGGGGTGGGGGCTGAGCCAGACCCATCTGCTGGGCAACAGAGCTTTGAGGGCTGGGGTCCCGAGTCCCGCCCCTAAATAAGGCTCTGATTTATAACCCTGGGCCAGGCAAGAATGCCAGGGCTGCTGCCCAGCAGGCCAAACTGTGACGCAGAGGGACATCCATTGGCTGGCCCAAGGGGGGGGGGGCACCTGGCGGGAAGAATATTGTAGGGGGGGCCTGGATGGAGAACAAAGAGTGCAAATGTCCCCCGTCCCATCCGCCCCCCTCCCCCAGTGAAGTGTTTTGGAGAGCTCAGGAATCTCCCATTTGTGGCTGTTTCAGCCACAGCCGGACAGGAGTTGGGGGGCTCCTCCAGCGCTCAGAGCAAGAGAGAGCCCCTCTCCCCACCAAGGGACCTAGGGCTCTCTGCCCATCTCGCAGGAGACAGGGGGAGCATTGCGCGCGCGCACACACACACACACACACACACACCCCTTTAGGAGCCAAGCTGGCCCTGCAAGGCTCCGGACAGCCTCCCACTTCTGCCTCATTGAGCCAGAATTTCTTTCACCGCTACTCCAGCCCCCCCCCCCCCCCCGCCCCCCCCCCCCATGTAATGAGAAACTGGTCAACTTTCTAGAAGCTGTTATTCTAAACAGTTACATTTGCTTTTCAAAATGGTCACCGAAGGAAGGGACTTATTTGCACCCCCACGGGGGGGGGGGGGAGCTCTTTGTCCCCCGGTATCCTCCCCCCCCCCCCTTTCTCAGAAATAAGATCCTAAGACCTCTGCTCCCTCCCCCTCCCTCTGCTTCAAGGACCCTCCCAGGGCGGCCATTGCTAGCAGGCAAAGTGTGGCACTTGCGCTGCAATTACTTCCGCTTCCCACAGAGAAATTGCACGGCGCCCCCTGCTGGTGGCTAGAGAAAGGTGTGGCAGCGTGGCCCCCCACTGGGCGGGAAAGGCAGCGCTGGAGAAAGGGAGGGAAGTGGGGAGGGGGCTCCCCCTCTTTCCAGGGGCTTTTGGTTAAACTGAAAGAGGCCGCCTCGCCTCTTGGGACAGTCCCAGGCCTTTCAGCAGAAGCCCCTCGGAGGACCCCCTCACCCTCTGTCCCTGGGGGAGGGGCTGAGGGAGCAACCTTTGGCCAGGGGCTCGCCAGCACTTTCATCCCCAGCATCCTGTGCACCATGCGCTGAGGAAACCAGGTTAGCCATCGTGGCCTGTTGCCCAGAATGCCGGTGGGTTTTTCTTGTTTGATGCCAGGTTTGATTCTGCAGCTCTCCTGGCACCGCTGGCATGAAGCCGTTCTCAGCAAAGGTGCACAGCTGCCGCAGCTGTGGCGGTGGGGATCCTGGCCTTCCCGGGAGCAGCCAGGCCAGCTTAGCTCTGGGCTCGACCGTCTCCTCTTCCTTCCATCGCCTCAAGGGCTGCTTGTCCCCAGATAAATCAGGATTTCACAGCAATTAATCTCCAGGCTCTCGCGGCAGTGATCAGACGGTTCTGGACAGGTTTCAGGCAGAGCCCGCCCTCTCTAATCAGGAACACCTCGCTGGCCTTCTGCAAAGGGAGGGGCGCTCTCCCCCTCCAACTCTCCCCCAGTTACGAGGTAGCAGCAGAGTCATGGAAACCCCTCGTGGGCTCTCTCTGCCTGCAGCCATCGGCTTCAAAGCTTCCACCCGCCCGCCTGGACCTGGCTGGGCCCTTCTGCCAAAGCTCTGGAACCAGAGCCAGCCCTACCTGGAACCCGCTAGATGCCCTCAGGGGCCCAGTGTGTGTCTCCCCCCCCCAAGTCTTCTGGTGCCGATTTGCTTCCCGTTGACCAATTGCCCGATTCTCTCCCCTTTCCTGCTCCAGGCACAAACTCTGCGGGAAAGCCCACCGGCTCATTGTCCCACCGGGAGGAGCTGACCAACAGCCCCTTTCTCAGGAGGAAGACGGGGCCCTCCAGGCACCCCACCCCAGAGAGTCCGGAGCAGGTGCCCGAAGAGCCCAAGCTGGCCTTGCCCTCCCGGGGGGCCTCCTCGGTGCCCAGCGCACGGCCAACCCCTCCTGCCAGGAAGAAGCAGGAGAAACAGCGGCCGAAGCTGCCCCCCAGCCCTGGGCCCTTCGTGGGGAGCCCCGGCCCTCTGGATGAGAAGCCGCCCACGGGGCCTGGGGAAAGCAGCCTGGGTGTGACCAGCCATTCCTCGCTCCAGATCTCTCCTTCCACGGTTCTGCCGCTGGCCTGGAGCCCTGGGGCTTCTGCTCAAGGGGGGACCCAGAGGGCCGAGGAAGAGGCTGCGAAGGGGGGATCTTCCTCCAGGGAAGAGGGCCGAGGAACGACCCCTCCGGAGCAGCTGCTGAGTAAGTGCTCTCTGCCCCTGCCTGCTGGCTGGCCTCTTGTGTCCCCAGCCGCTCTGCTCCTGGGAAGCCGGGCAGGGGGGGTCATGGATGCCCCTTCCGAGGCATTTTGCCGGAAGACGGAAGGGAGCCCTTTTCCTCCCCTCCTCCTGAAGGGAGCCGGCCACCTCCGAGGCTCCCAGCCCAGAACTCCCCCATGCCAGGAAGGCTCCCTCCAGGCCTGCTGGGAGGCTGGTCCTGGCTGCTCTGGAAGAGGCCAGGTGAGGGAGCTTTCGGCTGGCCTCCCTTCCAGGTCTCTGCAGCATGAATTTCTCTGAACCGGAGGGCTACATCGACTCAGCCGAGGCTCCGCTGGTGCCCCGGAACGGCTTCCTGGAGTGCAGCTTCCGGGTGACAGTCTACACCGGATATGGTGTGGAGCTGCAGGTAGGGAGGGCTGGCATGAGAGGGGGCTGCCTCCCTGGGCCCCTGACTTCCCACCCAGCTGCAAAATGTAGCCTTGAAATGGGACCCAGAGAAATTGCGGCTCAATCGGGAGCCTTCCGGAGGGCCCCACACCCTCCGTCCCCTGCTGCTCATCCTGGGAGTTGTAGTCCTCCGCCACAGTCAGACGGGACGCAGGGTTGGGTGAGCCTGTTCCAAGGGAAATGCCTGGCCAGCTACGTTGCTCCTCCCCACCCGGGTGGTTCATCCTCCCGAACAGATTCCTGATGCTGTGCAGGGTCTTCATCTTTGCTCCTGTTTGGCTTGCCTGTTGGGCCGGGAGAGCTGGGGCTGCTGCACGCGGCCCTGGGGGCTGCGGGTAATTTCTGGGGCTGCTAAAGCACAAATGCCAGCCTGAGCAGGAAAGCCCTTCAAGGAAGGAAAGAACCATGGAGCACAGGCCACAGAAAAGGGACCCCTCCCGCCCCTCCCCATCTGTTGGCCCCCAGCCCCTTTGTTTGGCTGCTCCACCCCAGAGGGACCTGAAGAGGTGAGGCGCCCCATTACGCCCCTCTCCTTTTCTCCCCCGAGCGAAGCAGCTCTGCAAAGCGTAGGATTTGGGATTCCTCTCACCTAACGGGTCTCTCCCTGATGTGCAGGTGAAGAGCGTGAACCTGTCCGAGGGGGAAGTGCTGGCCATTCGTGGGGAGGACGAGGGCCATTTGGTCACTCTGGCCAACCAGACCCTCCTGGTGGAAGGCCAGGTCATCCGCAGCCCCACCAACACCATCTCGGTCCTCTTCCGGGCCTTCTCGGACGGCCTTGGGACTTTCCAGCTGCATTATCAAGGTAAGCCGGTAGAGACAGCCCCCTCCCCTTCCAAGATTCCCTCCCCCCATCCCCAAAGCTTCCTTGCAGGTCTTCCTTTCCAAAAGCAGGAATGTGTTTGCTGCCTCCTGCCAAGGTTCGAAGGCCCAGAGTCAGGGGCCCAAAGAAGGCCCGAATTGCCCCACAGCAGAGCCTTTTGCAGGGGATGACCGGTCCCTCTGGCCTGGATAGCGGCTATTGGCCCAGGTCAATTTTAGAGCCTCTGCAGCCAAAGGAAAGGGGCTGTTTGCTTATTGGTGGGGCTTCAACCCAGCATTCTTGCTGTGTTTTCCAGACAGTCAATTCACCTCCACGCACCTGCCTGTCCCTTCCTCTTGGCACAAAAGGTGCAGCAGGTGTGCGTAGGGGGAGGCTGAGAGGGAAGAGGGCATCCTCCACAGTTGCAGGGGGAGGGAAGTGGAGAGGGCAAAGTAGCGTAAAAGCCTTGCGGCACAGATGGTGCCCGGTGGCATAGAGGGCAAGGCCTGAGATGGCATGTGGGGCTGCGGGTGAGATTTCCAGGAAGCCCTGGAGGGTGTTCAGAGGAGAACCAGCCCAGGTGGCAGAGTCCTGGTGAAATCTCTGGGTTGGAGGGAGGGAGGGCACCATTCTGGGCTCTCTGCTGGTGGACTGAATGCAGCCTCTTCGGTCTGGCTCCCCCTGGGCAGGGCAGGCTGCAGAGTCTCCCCGTCACCCAGCACCCCTCCACTCCATGGTGCTTGGCAAACCTCCCCCACCTGTCAATTTAGCGTCATCTGGCACTTTCCCCAACAGTATTTATGCTGAGCTGCAGCTTCCCACAGAGGCCCAATTTTGGGGAGGTGGCCGTCATGGGCCTGCACTCAGGGGGCCTGGCTCACTTCCACTGCCACCTGGGCTACGAGCTGGAGGGCCCCCAGAGCCTGGTCTGCCTCAACGCTTCCAAGCCGCACTGGAGTGCCCCGGAGCCTATCTGCTCAGGTATGGGGGATGGGCGGGCAGTGGTGGCCAGGGGTGGCAGGCCGTGCCTTGACCACCTTGTTTCTGCTTTCAGCCCCCTGCGGGGGCACCGTGCACAATGCCACCATTGGCCGCATCTTGGCACCCACCTCTCCGAGGAGCCCCTCGGGCAGCGTGGCCTGTGTGTGGATGGTCAGCGCCCCTGAGGGGCAGAAGCTTCACCTGCACTTTGAGAGGCTGGCGCTGGGGGAGAAGCAAAGGTGAGGTTGTCGGGCTGACGTTCTCTGGGAATCAACAACAGCGGCAACGCAAAATGCCCGCTGTGAGTTGTAACATTAAGCTGTGTGCTTGAAAACTAAAAGCCTGGTGCCGTTTGCCACCAGCCTGTGCATCAGCCGTCCTGAAGTAAAAGGCTCCTTCTCCAAAACACACCTGCGGCATTTGGCCCCCCAGCTCACTTCGCCAGCACTGCCAGGCCCACAGCATCAGAAGAGGCAGGTGCTGGTGCTCGAAGGAGCAGCCTTTCTAAAAATAAAAATAAAAACGAGGAACTGGTAGACAGTCAATAAAACAACTTTATGAGCTGTGCTGGGATTCCAGAGTAAAACGCCTGTTTATGACCACAGAAAACACGGCGCTTTCCCTAGGGAGCCTTGGCAGACTTCTACCTGAAGTCCTTGCCATGTGACCCCAGGAGTTGGAGAGCCGCTCCAGAAGGGGGGGAAGGATTCCCTCCCCAGTTGAACTGGCAGCAAGGGCAGGGAGGGGACCATCCTGCTGGGCTTCCGCTCTCGCGCACCACCTCCTGACCTTGACCTGCCTCTCCTTGGGCTCCAGAATGGTGGTCTACGGTGGAGAATCAAACCGCTCAGCCGTGCTCTACGCTTCCCGGCCGGGCAGCAACGTGCCCTTCGAAGGGGTGATCAGCGAAGGAAATGCCTTGCGGGTCGACTTCACCTCGGAGGACCCCAGCAGAGAGGCCACGTTCAACATCCGGTTCGAAGGTGAGGCTCCTCACCCTCTTCCACACCCTGATCGGACCGGGTGGGGGGCAGGGCAGGGGGGTGTTCTCTGCTGCTGCTGCTGCTGCTGCACTTGACAGGGATGCAGCCCTCCCTGTTCCCAAAGGGTCAGGTCAAGACCCTGCAGGGCTGCTTGCAGTGGGGCAGCCCTCCCACCTTGGTGCTGGAGATCAGAGCCAACTGCCGTCTGCCCATGGGGCGGGGGAACGGGGGGGCGAAGGTACCAAGGAAGCCCCGCACCCCCTCTCTGCAATGCTTGCCAGACTGAGCTCTCCAGAGGCCTCGTGGCGGGTGAGGCGACCCCCGAATTCCTCCAAAGGCTGGATCAGCCCCCCACCCACCCTGGAAAGGGAGCCTGGCGTGGGGGGAGCAGCTCAGCCCCCTTCCCACCATCTGGAGGGAATCCAGCAGAGAGGAACACCGAGACCTCCCAGCTGCTTTGGAGCCTCTCGGAAACAGGAGCCAAAGGTCTGGAGCAAGAGCGGATTGTGGGCGGTGAAGTGAAGTCTTTCCTCTCTTGGGGTGAATGAGGAACCCTGGGCTCCCCTTTTCTCTCAAGCGCTGGCTGGGGAACACTGATTTTCCGGCCTTTATTGCTTCTGACTTACTTACTGCATCATCATTATTGCTCCATCCTCCTTTTTCATCTTTCTCTCCACATAAATTCTGCCATGCTAAACATAATTTGATTTTGCGCTGTCTGCAGGCTGCATCTCCCCCCACAATCCAGCCTGGAGCCCCCTCCTCTTCCCCGGGTCCTCTGCTCTTTCCCTGCCTGCCTCGGGAACCCTCTGCCCCCCAGGGATGCCCAGGGCTCGGCTGGGACCCACTCGGTGCCCTGCAGGGCCCTTTGGCAGCAAGCAGCACCTTGGAGAGCTCCGGAGGCCAGCAGGCCTGACTGGGCCAAGGAAAGCACCCAAAGCCCCCAGCTGAGTGGGGCAGATCGGCTCGATTTCCCAGGGTCGAAAGATAAAATGGTTGGCTGCACATGAACAAAAGACCCTTAAAAAAATGCTGAACCTAAACAGTGAATAAAAGGGATCCCTTTTGATAGTTTAATTCAATTGATGGAATCAGAACAGTCATTGGATCCTTCTAATTTTCCAGCAAAAATAGGGTCCAGTTCACACCCCTCTGCAAACTAATTGCTTCCACCCACCGCCTGCTCCCTGGCTGGGTTTGGCCCATTCCCTGCACCGAAAGGAGACGTGGGTGGGGAGCTGCAAGGCCTGCTTGCAGAAGGGGGGCGCTGGGGGGGGGGGTGTCTGCCTGTGCCAGTCCTGCCCTTCTGTGTCCCCCTCCCAGCCTTTGAGAAGGGCCATTGCTACGAGCCCCACCTGCAGAATGGCAACTTCACCACCTCTGACGCCACCTACAATCCTGGGGCAATCGTGGAGTTTACCTGCGACCCCGGGCACACCCTGGAGCAGGGCCCAGCGGTCATCGAGTGCATCAACCTCAGGGACCCCTACTGGAATGACACGGAGCCCTTGTGCCGAGGTGGGGGGGGGCGGGGCGGGGGGCTCGGCCCGGGGGGGGGGGGGCTGCTCTTGGGGCCGTCCTGACTCTCGGCCTTGCAGCCACCTGCGGAGGAGAGCTCTCCATGGCGGCTGGAGTCATCCTGTCCCCCAACTGGCCGGAGCCCTATGCAGAGGGCGAGGACTGCGTCTGGAAGGTCCACGTGGGGGAGGAGAAGCGAATCTTTCTGGACATCCAGCTGTGAGTGTGTCCCCAGCTGGGGGAGAGGATTTCAGGCATCTGTACTCAGTGTGGGGGAAGGACGGTTTGCACTTCGGAAAGGCTGTTTGGGGGGCCGGGGAGCTTGCTGTCTGCCTGCAGAGTGAAAGTGGGACTGCGTCGGGGTGGGGGAGGGGCACAGGCAGATCTGCTCGGTGGTGTCCCCTGACTGGAGTTGCCTGCAAGGCCCAGCAGCCACTGATCTGGCCACCTCAGGCAAAAGGATTTGCAGCCCCTGGGAGCACAAGCCCTTCCCCTCCCTTGCTTCACACCCACACAACACCCACACCCCCCTCACGGGCAATTAAAGCCGCACCTGGCACTCGGGGTTCCTCCCTGCCGAAGCCTCTGTGGGGCTCCTGATAGTCCAGCTTGAAGGACAGATACTTTGATCACGCTTCCCCCCCCCCCCCCCCCCCCCCCCCCCCGTGGCAGCCCACAGAACGCGGGGAAGCCTGCTAAAACGGCTCTCTAGCCACGCAGCGTCCCTGATCTTTTGGGGGTGTTTCCCTTGTTTTCCCCTCTTCTGGACGATCCATGCAAGATCCATGCAAGCCGAGAAAAGCCTGCGGCCTCTGAGGGAGGGAAGAGGCTGCTCTTAAAAGGGAACCGCACCGTCCTGCCTCCCTGGCCTCGGAAGGGTTGGCTTTCCAAGATGCTTTGGCAGAGCTGCCCGCCCCTCCTTGCACCACCCCCCACCCCAACCTTGTGCTGCTGCTTAGAATCTGCCAGCCTCAGCTGGAGTGACCAGGAGCACCAATGACCACTTCTTAGCACAGAAAAGCCCAATGCAGTTAAAGGAATTGGGGGGGGGGGGGGGGGGGGGGAGAGCAAAATCTCAAGTAAAGATTGGCATTGCTGGGCTGGCGGCTCCCTCTGCCGGCCAGAAGAAGCATTGGCAGCCGAAGGCAGTGAGACAAGCCAAAGTAAAATGTTTTCTGCTCCCTTGGAGCTCCAGGCACCAACCTGAGCTGTGGATCCGGTCCTTTTCCTCAGCCAAGGAAAAGCAGCTCCTTGTGCTTGCAGCATCCGAGAGCCCTCCTATCCAGGAGCAATCTATCTGTGGTGGCAAGAGCAGGAAAGGGTGCCGCCATCTTGCTTATAAGCTTCTCAGGGACTCCTGGCAACCAGGGCCGGCTGCCTCCGTCCCCTCTCGCCAGCCAGGGGTCCTCCGGGGGGAGGGGAGGCCCAGCGCTTCCCCTTCCCCTGCCAGCAGCTGCTGATCCCGGCCTCCCTGAGCCGAGACCCAGCAGGGCCCTTCCGCCGCCCTCTTCTCGCCCTCCCTGCAGCCTGAACCTGAGCCAGAGCGACATCCTCACGGTCTACGACGGGGATGACCTCAACGCCCACATCCTGGGCCAGTTCCTGGGCAGCGGTGGGCCCCAGAAGCTCTACTCCTCCACACCCGACTTGACCATCCAGTTCCACTCGGACCCGGCCGGCCTCTTCTTCGGGAAGGGGCTGGGCTTCACCATGAGCTACATTGGTGGGTGAGCTTGGGGTGCCCCACCTTTTGGCCACTGGGCGCTCTGCCCGTTCTCACCTGGGCCCTTTCTGGCTGCAGAAGCCTCGCGGAACGAGTCCTGCTCAGACCTGCCGGAGATCCAGAATGGCTGGAAGACCACTTCTCACACCGAGCTGGTTCGGGAGGCCAAAATTACCTACCAGTGTGACCCGGGCTACGATATTGTTGGCAGCGACACCCTCACCTGCCAGTGGGACCTCACCTGGAGCAGCGACCCCCCTTTCTGCGAGAAAAGTATGGCCCTGCCCAGACTGTATCCCCTGTGTGGCTGGGAGTTGCACTGAAGACCCCCCGGTCTTTTTCCTACTCTGCTCCTGCCACGTTAACCAGAGTTTGGGGCAGAGAAATCCAGTTTTCGAGCCCTTCCTTCTTGGTTCCCCCTCTCCGTGTCTGCTGCTACAGCCACAGGAGCCGGCTGGAAAATGGATTGGCAACCCCAGGCTGTAGAGGGTAACGGGGGTGGGGGGAGAAGGGCAGGCTGTGTCTAAGTCCTGCAGCAGCCAGTAAGTGGGGAGTCAGTCACTCTGAAACACACACAAAACGCACCCACACCCACACAATGGGCTGGGCTTGCAAAAGCTGTTTGCAAACAAACAGGAGAGGCGGCTGCTTTGACCCGGTTTTACGGGGAGGGCCAGAGCTGCACCTTGAGGCCCAGGCAGAAGGGGGGAAGGTGCCAGACGGTCTGGCCTGAGCCTGGGGCACTTTGGGGTGCTCCAGCCTGGCCCCCCGCTTTTCACCCTAGTCATGTACTGCACGGACCCCGGGGAGGTGGAACACTCGACCCGCTTGATTTCGGACCCAGTGCTCTTGGTTGGCACCACCATCCAGTACACCTGCAACCTGGGCTTTGTGCTTGAGGGCAGCTCCCTTCTCACCTGCTACAGTCGGGAAACGGGGACCCCCATCTGGACCTCCAGGCTGCCCCGCTGCGTGCGTAAGTCCAGGGCTTGCCGTGAGTGCGCTGCTTTTCCCGTGCCTGCCCTGCGGGACGCCCTCACTTGTTTGCCAGCATGCAAGAAGGAACCGGGGGGAGGGTGGAAGAGGGTGACCCCACCAGACTGGCCCCCTTGCCAACTGGCTCCCCGATTCCCTCCATGCAGCGGAGGAATCCCTGGCCTGCGACAACCCAGGTCTGCCCGAAAACGGGTACCAGATCCTCTACAAACGCCTGTACTTGCCAGGCGAGTCGCTGACCTTCATGTGCTACGAAGGTTTCGAGCTGCTCGGGGAGCTGACCCTCAAGTGCATCCTGGGGCAGCCCTCCCGGTGGAGTGGGCCGCTCCCCACCTGCAAAGGTAGCTCCCTCGGCTCCTGGGGCTGCTCTGCGGGGCTCCCCTAACTGCCCCCTCTTGACGACGGGAACCCTGCAACTAAAAGGGGAGGGGTTTGGCTGGGGGGGGGGGTCAGAGGCAGGAGCCCAAACACCAGTTAGCCCTCATGCCCCCCCCCACCGCCTGACTCCCTGCCTCTCTTCCAGTCAATCAAGACAGCTTTGAACATGCCTTGGAAGGTAAGTCTCAGCCAGTCCGTCCGTCATTCCCCCTCCCCCGCCAGGGGGATCCAGGCACCTGGGAGGGGCAGGCTGTGCCCGGGAGCCCTGCAGCCTTTTGTCTCTTTAGTAGCAGAAGCTGCTGCAGAAACGTCCCTGGAGGGAGGCAACATGGCGCTGGCCATCTTCATCCCCGTTCTTGTCGTTTCCTTGCTGCTGGGGGGCGCCTATGTCTACGTCACGAGGTAAGGAGGGAGGGAGGGTCTCGTGTTGGCATGCACAGCCGCCATGCATGCTCTCCCCTCCTGGTGGCTTTTCTCCCTGGGAGCTCAGGGCGGAAGCTGGCCTGACCCACGGAGGCCTGGCTTTCCTCTTCCCTTCAGGTGCCGCTACTACTCCAGCCTGCGGCTGCCCCTCATGTATTCACATCCATACAGCCAAATCACGGTGGAGACGGAGTTTGACAACCCAATTTACGAGACAGGGGTGAGTTGCTGCCTCTTCTCAGCAAACCTGGCTGGGAGTTAAATGGAGGCTGCCAGGGCATCCCAGGGCCGCGGTTGCCCTTCCAGCCAGGCGGCCACCGGGCAGGTTGCAGAGCCAGATCCCACTCAAAAGTGGCTTCCTTTTGGCAGGGTGACCTGTCCGTGTGGCTGGGGGGAGCCTCGTCCCAGTGCCCTAAGCGTGGCCAGGGCAGGGAGGGGAATCCCCATCGTTCTTCTCCCCCGCTGGAAAAGGCACAGCGCCCTGTGACTGGAGTGGTGGGCCTGCCGGGCTCAAATCCACATTTCCCTATTTAAAAAAAGAAATTACAGAGTGAGAGAAAACTAAAAAATGCAGGACATTCTACTAAGTGTGTATTTGGTGGCTCTCCCAAATGGAACCCAGCAAGGGGTGCGCCCGGCTGCTCCTTTCTTCAGGTGTGAAGGTGCCCCTCCCGAGGTCTTTTGTGCCCAAGCTTCTCTCCCAACGGGTCCTCAGTGACCGGTGCCCCCTCTGTCTCCACAGGAAACCCGGGAATACGAGGTGTCCATCTGAAGCAGCCCTCGACACTCACCCCGCCTCGACCTCCACCCCCGATATCTCCTCCAGGGGCCCAACTTGGAGACGGGGTGGAATCTGCCTGAGAGCTTGGACCCGCTGCTCTCCTTCCGCTTTCCATCCAGCTGTGCCCACTTCTTCCTCCTCGTCTTTGCGGTGGCCTCTCCTGGCGGGTGCCGGGCTCATGATTTGCTGGCATGGAGCTGAGTCCGCTTGGCAAGGCAGCTACTCCTGCGGCCAGCCCCAAGGGACGCCCTGGCTTGGCTCTCCTTCTGGGTCGTGTGGGTGCATTTTGCAAACCTGCGGCTGAAAACGGTGACCGCCTCTGGTGAAGGAGGGAGACTGGACTTGCCCACTACGGCCAAAGCTCCCAGCTCTTCTCTTGGCCCCCCCTGGGCACAGCTGGTGCCACTTCTGCCTCTGCATGAACAGGGCAAGGAAGGGGAGCCTTCATAGGGAAACACAGCAGTCCCGAGGCTCCGGGCCACTGGCGGCCAGGGGAGGAGACCCAGAAGCCCAGCCGAGGGAACCCTGTGCCGTTTTTATTTCGAGCGTGAGGCATGAATGGCAGCAGCCAGGATGGGCGAGGAAGAGGAGGCCTGGAAGATGAAGGGCAGGGGACCTTTTGAGGGGGGAGGGTCTTGGACACGGCCGTTGCAGCCTCTTCTCTCCTCCTGGCCCTGATCACGTGCCGAGTCTTTGCCGGTTTTGGCAAAGGAGCCTCTGGGGGTCTGCTGCCAGAAAGGACGGAGAGTCCCACCCACCTGGCCCCCTTCCCCAGCAGAGCAACGAGAGGCCTCTGGCACTGCCACCCACCCACCCACCAGGTTGTACCAGGAGCCCCCGGGAACCTAAAGGTGGCTTCAAATGCAGGGGCCAGAGGTCAGCCGGATGAGCTATAAGAATACCTGAGATAGGCTGACACCCCCTCCCTCTGCACGCGCGCGCGTGCACACACACACACACACACACACACACACACGGTGACTCTAGGCTGGAGGCCTCTGCCATGGAATAAGCCCGGTAGTAAGGAGAGAAAGAGAAAGAGAAAGAGGGGGGGGCTCCCTGCTGCCCCTTTCCATGGAAACGCACCGAGGACAGAAGACTTTGCCCCTTGCATCTCCCCCCCCCCTCCGGCCCACTCTTGTTCCGTGGATGAACACGCAGAGGCAGATATTGGGCTGTTTTTTCCCCGTCTTTGTAAAAACAGTGAAAATGTAACCATGACAATTTTTTAAACATGTGTTTTAGATTAGAAATCCAGGCTGGTGCATCTCTGCAGTTGCCAAGGATTTGGGTGTGTGGGTGTTTCCCTCCTTTTAAAGCATACAGGCCGCACCTCCCCTTCCTGCCCCTCCTGTGAAGGGGTATTGTGGTGGGCGAAGGCGGGGAAGGGCGGGGGGGGGGGGCAGAAGCCAATGTAGACAACTCCTCCTCCTCCTCCTCCTCCTCCTCCTCCTCTTCTTTTCATAAGTGTGATGATGGGATTAAATATTTTTGAAGATGACACGACCTCCTTGCACAGGGCCGGCACTGAGGAAGCTGCCGATGACGGTGCTGCGTTTCCAAGCGAGAGGGAAACGGCCTCCGTGGCTCTCTGAGCTGCTCCCATCGATGGCGCTTGGGGTAGTCCTGCCAGCGGGACTGTTGGCACCCAACAGCTTGGGTGTTTTTGAGCCAGTGTGAAGACACTGCAACAACACGGCTTCTCAGCTGTGATCTTTCCTCCCTAGCAGGAAACCCTAACCTTCCAGGGCTTCCTTGTCTTAATGATGCAAAATCTATGCAGCGTCATGCAGTTTCTCACAAGGGGGCTCGCCAAGCAGGAAAGAGAGAAACCTGCCTGCTTTTCCCACAACGGGGAGGGGGCTTCTGAGGAGCTTTGGGGGGACACGTCCAGCAGGGTCAGTGGGCTCTGCCTTCATTGCAGTCTAGGGTCCGGCTGGCACTTTCACATCCATCCTCACAGCTGAGAAGCTCAGGGCAGGGAGGGGCGCCTGGGGGCTTGGCTGGCCCTGCTCAAGAGAAGCTCTGAGACAAACCCAGGGGCATCTGTGCCATTCCCCTCACCCACACCAGAGGGGAGAAAGGCTGGGAGCCATCGCCGGGGCCACTGAAGCCACAGACTTTGGGGCTGGAGGCAGAGCAGCTCCTGCCACAGGACCTGCTTCCCTGGCATAGAGCCACAAAGGAGCTCCTCCACTTTGAGCAAGCAATCCCCCTCCCCATTAAGTGTCGTGGGCCACCCCAAAGCCTCCAGAGGTCTTCAAGTGAGGAAGACCCCACCCTTATGCTGCTCTTCTGGCAGCCATAGGAATCCTTGGGTTTGGGCACACGGATCCTGGCCCAGTGCAGCTTTGCCACAGGCACTGGGGGGGGGGGGCAATGGGGAGGGGGAAGAGGAAACTGGCTGGCCGGCCGTGCTGACCTGCAGCAGCACCAGCCAGGAAATCTGCTCCCCTTCCCGAATGGTTGCCAGGAAGGAGCCAGGTCAGCATTCCGCAGACAGAGGCAGCTGGGGTGCTCTCCAACGCTCCTGCCCCCTCCTCGGCTAGGATCCCTGGAACCCCTGGAGCCAAGAGCAGGCGCAGGCTGGCTGTGCCCCCATCCCGGCCCCAGAGAGCCACTGTACAGGGGCAAATGCTCTGCTGCCTGGCACTTTCTTGGCTGGACAGAGAAGAGCAGCTGGGGGAATGCCGCCCCCTCACTCTGGGGTGCCAGTTCTGGTCAAGCAGCCTGTTCTCCGAGGCCTTGATTGAAAGGCCACCCTCCCCCGCTCAAATATCCCGCCGGGAAGCCCACCGTGTCTTCAGCCACTCTGACTCGGTTCCCTGCCGCTCCCCATGCCAGAGCGGAGGGATTAATGCGGCCTCTGACCAAGCTAAGCAGCCCCCCTCCAGCCCCAGGGCTCAGAAGGCCAGGTGGGACCCTCTCCATCCCTCATTCCCCTTTGGGGTGTTCGTTGAATGAAGCCCCCCCCCCCCCCCCCGTCTTTCTCTCCCTCCCCCCCCCCACAACCCCCCCCCGGGGGAGGACAGAAACCCAAACAAGCAACAGGGGGGGGGGGGGGGGGGACGGGGGGGGGAGAGCTTCCCCGTGGCCTTTTGCTGCTATTGATTATCTTCCGGATCTTTGTGGCTAAATCCACCAGGAGGGGCTTCGCACTGAGGATTATGGGCCCATCCTCTCTGGGACAGGATGGACTACACTTCCCATCATGTCCGCTGAGACTCCGGAAACCACAGCACAATCTGGGCTAATTGGCCCTCAAGGAACGGGCAGCCTCCTGCCAGCCAGGCCTGTAGCAGAATTTTCGCCTCCTCCAATTCTGACCAAGAAGACGAGTAGCCAACACCACCACCACCACCCCGCATGGGGGAAGACACCCTCAGCTGCCATCAAGCGCCTTGAGGGCCCCCTGGGGCAGGCAGGACGAGAGAAGGGTTTGATGGATGACTGTGGCTGCTCGCTGACTGGGAACCATGGGTAGAGGCTCTGCATGCTTCCCCCAGCTAAATTCTGTGCCCTCCCCCCCACCCCCATAGAGACTTCAGTGGATTTGCCTCCTTCTGATTCCTGCGTAGCCGCGTCAAGAGGCTGCTCTGCTGCCAGCCAAGAATGGCCAGCCTTGCAGAATTTCGTGCCAGATGAGATGTTGCAACACGAAAGAAGCCAGAGACTCAAAGGCTACAGCCAAGGAAGGTGGACTCCAGGGAAGAGGACGGAGGGGCTTGCCAAGCCTTGCAGGAGTTCAACAAGGGCCCCAGCCACCTCCGGAGGGGGCCCGGAGAGGCCTCCTCATTTCTTCCATACAGACCACGCAGAAGGCACTCTGTGCTGGCTCCGTGGCATTCTTGTCGGGAGCACGAACGCCGCCACGCAGAGGAGGCTGCAGCAGTCCTGCTAAGGCCGGCCTTGCCCCGGGGGCCTGCCAGCCGCTCTGCTTCTTTTATGCCCCCCAGTCCGGCGCTGGTCTCGGCTGCAGCAAGAGCTCCCAACAGCTCGGCGGCTGAATAACCGCCGCGTCCGCCGGCTCCATCCACCCCGCCCGAGGCGGCAAGAGACGCCCCGCAGAAGCTAAGCTCGCCAAGCTCCCGGCCGCCGCATCAGCACCCCCGGCGCTGGCCAGCGAGCGAGCTTCTCGCGGCGAAGGCTGCCCACGTGGCGGCGGCGGCGGCGGCGGCGGCGGCGGCAGCGCCCTCCCCGGCGGAAGGAGCGCGCCGCGCCCGGAGAGAGCCTCGCACGCTCCCGGGGCCGCTAGGACGCGCGGCGGCGGCGGCGGCCCCTCCCCGGCGGGGCCGGGCGGGCTGCTGGGAGTTGTGGTCCGCGCCTTCAGCGCCGGAGCAGACCGTCGGTCGGTCGGGACGGGCGAGCGGAACCCGGCGGCAGGTTAGGCGGGCAGGTGCGCGCGAGGGACGGAGGCAGGGGCGAGCGGGTCTTCTGCAAGGGGGCCCGGCCGGCACACGTCGGGCTCTTGGCCCGCGGCGGGGCCCCCGTGGGCCGGGAGCCCGAAGGCTTCCGCCTGCCTCGGCCCCGGCCTCGCCGGGTGGGCGGGCGGGCGGGCGGTGCGAAAGGAGGGGGCTCCTCGGCAGGAAAGCCTTCGCCACCTGCGCAGGGGCAGGCCTGGCTCGGCTGCGGGGCGGCGGCGTGGGCGGCTGCCTCCCCCGCAGGGAAGGGGCTTTGTCGCAGGCGGAGGTGCCCTCCCGGCCTGCCAGATTTGCCTGCAAGCCGGGAAGCGATCGGGCGTCCGCGTTACATAAGGCTGCTTCCGCCCGGGAGGCCCCGGGCGGCAGTGCCGAGACACTGAGCGCGCCCCCCCGAAAAACCCCCAGCAACTGGGGCAAGGAAAGCCAAAGACTGAATCAAAGCTGCAAGCTTGGGGTCTGCGTTGGACCGTTTGTCCACGGGCGCTGGCGATTGCAGGTTGGGGGGGGGGGGCGCCTTGCTGCTTTTTTTAAGGGGTCCCGTCCAGGCCATTTCGCTCTGGCAGAGGTTGGCATCTGCCTCTGGCCCAAAGTAAGAGCTAG